TTACCAAATTATTTCTTTTATCATTACGTAAAAACTTTCGTTTTGGTACGACACGTGAGTAGCATCGATAGATTTCGCATCTGTTGACAAAGCCTTCTTCCTTTGCAAAGTAGGTAACAATTTATAAATTAGAGACACTAACAGATGTAAACAATAGCAGATGTTATAAAGCAGGAACTTTTTGTTAAGACTGGACAGCATAAAGGACAAATTATGAATACGTAGGTACCTGTGTTAAATACGTGGTGCGATTTTTTTTTATTTATTCATTGCCGTTGATACAAGGTCATATGTACCCATATTCATTTTTATGGTAGGTACCTAACTTTGTTACCTATTAATCAGTTTTATTTAATTTGCCAGAGTATTAAATGTACAGGGTGATTCACAACTTATCCAAAAAAATTTGGGAATAGATGCAGCATGAGAAATGGAATCAATATCGTAAAAAAAAATTTTGTAAAATCCTTATAGTTTCCGAGAAAAAAAATATTGAAGTTATATCACATTCAACCACTACATAGCTGGACAACTGTAGTCGCTAGCGTCATTCGCCACGTGGCCTTAGCGACTCCGAATACTGAATTCGGATTTTGCAATCGTCGTTGCGATATTTACCTGTTATCTGTGGTGTTTACAATAGGTTTTTAGTAGTTAGTGTCAAAAATGGGTAGTTAGTGTCAAAAATGGTTTGCGTGTACTCGGAGTTGATGGATATCGTTTTAATTTATGGTGAAGCATTTGCGTTATGGTGAAACAAGACAACATTTGTGTTAGTTCGTAGAAACTGAGTACAACGGACCTAAATGTGTTTACACATTGATGGATAAAGTATTGAACAATTGTTGTAACATCGGGTATGTAAATTGATTTTATTATTTAAAAACACAAATTAATTTTATTAATTAATAAAGGCAAAAGCAGTTGAATTTGCCGATATAAAATAGGTGCGATAAAATTCTATTTACATATTTCTTGCGAAAGTTTTTGTCCGTTTTTATCACACCGCCATGCGGGTCGCATTGTGCGAGGTCAGGTTTTACAGTGGACCAGTTTCCAGTGCCGTGCAGAAGTGTATTTTTAAATCATTTTCGAACTGCCCTTTTTGATTTTTTCTTTACAAAATTGTATTTGTAAGGGTCCCCTGTACATCCTGAATTTTTTTTGGCTAAGTTCTGGATCACCCTGTATATATGATTGTAGGGCACCTACCAAAATTTAAATTGAACATCTACCTGTACATCTCAACTGTATGATAACGTAGTATTTTTTAAAAATTGAAATTTTTGTTGTTTGCTCTTGTATTTTTACAAGTTTCGAACAAATAAGTGATTTTTTGTTACAGATTGTTAGTTTTTATATTTTGTCTAATACAGACAATACCAATAACACTAAAGGGTTGTGTAATCTTCAATAAATTTTATAAGCTAACGTGGGAGATGGCTTAGAACTTTTCAAATCGAAATCGATAAATGTATTTATTCTATATTGAACAATTTCTGATACCCTCAAAATGATACACCCATGGAACTTACTTTCCGCACGCCTCACTATTGCCTACCATTTTGGACCTGCAGTGAACCTCAGCTACTTCTTACAACATTCGTTCTTATTTGGGCTATGCTTATGCTAAAATGTGCAGTCGAGAGATGCCCAATTTAAATAGCAAAACTTCCAGTTTCTACTACTTTACATTGGATTTTGTTGTCCACAGCTGTACACCCTATTTAAAACAATGAGGATATTTCTACAACACGTGTTAACACGTCAAGTCAATGTGTCCTAAGCTTACTGTCATAGCGTCCACAATCGATAAACAAAAAAAATAAGATGTGAAATAAAGCTATATCGACGATTTTCCTCCCACGTAATCCACATCGTCCAGCTCAACGTATCCCACTATTTGAGCGGAATGTTCTCGCTAGAGCGAACCCCCGCTTTGTCTATTGTGGCAGCCCAACCGACGGTGAAATACTCCGGATGGATGCCGGCTGGGGATTTGTCCATTTGCTGATCGAAATGCCGCTTTTCATGACACCCCGAAGCACCCTTGGCAATAAAATCTCTGCAAACAGGTCATCAGCGCTCCCCGTTCGGATTTGCTCGTTGATTTCAGGAGATAAAAATCTCCAATGTTATCACTTTCCCTTTGTTACTGCGAGGGCAAATCTGATATAAAAAAGGGAATTTTTTGTTTTATAATCATTGGGACAAAATAGAAATACAAGGATTATCCAGAACTTAGTAACAGTTGCTTCTAATAAATACTGTATGTATTTATTAACAACATGGACTTACCTATTAAAAATTTACTAAAATTAAATTCGTGTATAAAATAAAATAATTATAGTAGATAATGGAGATTTCATTACGAACAAAAGAACACTACAGTTAATTGTTGTACTCCATGTCCCGAGTGCGAATATTTTTCGAATTTCTCTCAACTATCGAATCTGACTTAGAAAGCAATTTATAGGACCCATACGCGAGAAGAACCCAGTTAAAAGTAGTTGCCGACCATCCATGTGAAGCAGAAGACGCCAAGTCGAAATCAAAATTTTTACCGATGTTTCCAATTCAACGAGTGACTGGCAACAACTCACGCGGGACACCCTAAATTTACAGTCCAGTTTCCCCGCGAAAAAACTAGGAGTTGTCTTACATAAATCTAGAATAACAGCCAAATTCCACACGAGGGAAATCAATAGTTACGAATCGCTCGAGACCGGGAAAGGCCAAATGTCAGGATCCAAACCAAACAGCAGCACCGAAGAATCCGCAAGGCCACCCCGAATTGGGTGATCGAACGTCGACTCTAAGATCTTGACGTACAGAACCAAAACACTTACCTGGCTAATACTCAGTACAACTTTATGCTTTCAAGCTCATTGCATTGTATAAAGCCTAAAAGTAAACTTTAAAGCTATATATTGTCAATACATTTTCAATAAACGCATTTTTACAATAGAAACATTGTCGAAAATTTTTGCGAGCTCGCGAATCATCAGTCTAGTGTCAAAATCTTCGACAACCTGTATATCGAAAATGAAGAGGTCTGACGAGTATAGTCTTCGAGAATATCTTGTTTAAAATGATATTCCTTATACTCTACTGAAGTCTGTTTATTAAAACGGAAACACCCGGTATACGTTTCAAAATGTTAAAAAATTTTAAAATTGCAAACGATACACAAAATTACTATTTCCGGTAATATTTAAGTAAGTCCAACTAAATAAAATTGTAAAAATATAATTTGTCAGAGAAGTTAATCGTTTTATTCGCCAGAAAAGTGCAGCACAAGTCGTTGTGACACAAATAATCTAATATTTTAAACAAAAATATTCTAGATTAATCATACTGAATCGCGTACCCTGAATGATATGTTGCCACGTTGCATATTGAGAAAAAAGAATAAACGAGTAACTATATTTTAATAATAATTAATTCGATTGTACAGTGTGACAAAATGTGGCTGAAAATTAAAGCGACTGAATCTTCAGGGCAAGCTTGTTGTAAATCGCGCTTTATACTGGGTGTTTGTAAATAAGTGCGAAATATTTTAGAGGTGATTGCCGAAGGAAAAAAAGTTCATATAAACGTAGGTCGAAATATGCTTCGTTTCCGAGATACAGAGTGTTTAAATTTTAATTTTTTATTAATTTTTATTAATTATTTCAGAGTTTTAAAGATAATGACTCGAAATTTGACGGTTGTATTTTTTATAGAAGCATTGATAGCAACATACTAGATAATGTATAAATAGAAATTAAAAATACAAAACTTGCAATAAAATGTTTTATTTTTTTTTGCTCAAAAATGGTGCACCTACGAAAAAAATTGAAGAGACCAATTTCATTCAGAATTGATGGCGGATTTCTAAAAAAATATCAAAACTGGGTTGAAATCGTGTGAACTCAATGATGTTGTATCTGCGTACATGTAGTGACGTCACTAACGAGGCTGACCTAAACATAACCTCGAAGATAAATTACACTTTGGCATAGCACACGAAACTAAAATATGTTTTATTGTTTATCCGAGCATAGTGCAATTGCAGCTAAGTCTGTGGTTGAAAACTTTTTAAACATGTTTCTAATAATATATATACTCGCGCTCACTATTTACTTACTGAGCCTTTAATAGTAGTATTAATTAAAAATGCATGTAAGCGACTTTAACGCTGAATTTAAAATATTAAAGTCACATTTACATTAATTTCAATGCATAAATAGTATATACAGGGTGTCCCGGTACTAGATACAAAAAAGTCGAGTACAAATAGATGCGCTCAAAATAGTATCAGTTCTTCATATATTTTTTTTCTTCATACGGGCCTTCGTTAACAAGTTACGGGCCCTTAAAGGTGAAAATTTAAAAGTTATTTTACTTTACAGTCTCTGCTCTAAACTATTAACTTCAGCATGCAAATTTGGTGAACGGTAACACATGCATATAGCTTGTTTTTGATGTTGTAAGTGAAACTTCATTATACCTAGAATGTCAGGTACGGACTATGCCCAATGGTTAACAACCCAAAATTTTTGCATAGATGACGATCGCAATCTGCCTGTGGCAAAAATAAGTTCCCTGGAGAATTTGCCAACGGTAATACCTCTTTGTTCAACTCGGTAAAATTAACAGTTTAGGAAATATTTGTGATTTTATGTCACAATGCTCATCGAGCGGCGCCTCCACCATTTTTTGTTTTTAATTTCTAATTGGACATAAGTTTCAAGCCCTAACTTGTGCTTAAAGCTTAATCATCATGAAATTCGTGATAAAATCACGATGTGATTGGAGGAGGAAATTTAGTCTATCTCTATCCACTCAATCCCACAGAACTGCCAGAAATTTCTGCAGATTTTAAAATAAAGTTCCCGTTAATATTTGACTCATCCCCGTATCACTTTCCCGAAATTAGTTTATTCGTTTCACACAAATGAATTCGTTCCTGTTCATGAATGACGTTAGATGTATAACGAGTTTCAAGCAAGACTTACCTGATGTACATGTTCCTTCATGCCCAACCACTGTTTGTAGCTAATGGATATTCCACTATTTCTCCATTTGTCGTAATTGGACTTCCTCTCGGGGTCACAAAGCACCTCCTTAGCTTCCTAGAAATAGTAACAAAAATATGAGCATATTAATAAAACGTATAGTTGTATACAGGGTGACCCAGAAAGGCTGGACGTCCAATAAATTTGTTTTTCTTACGGAACAGCCTGTATATTTTTTCATATTCGGATAAAACTTTTTCTTACGAATAATCGATGTAAGGTTTTATGGTTCTATCTCACAATCAAATAACAAGCGAGATATTGCGATAAAATGACATTTATTTCAAAAAATTTTATATAATGTTATTTTTCATAAAAGAAATTGTACATGGAAACGAAACAAATGCAAATAATTAACGAAAAAAAGAAAACGAAAAGGTTTGCAAGTTTAGTAATAAAAATTAGGGTTCTTTTTGTTGGCACTCAGGTCACTGATAAAAATTATTAAATTTCGTGACATTTTCACAAATTAATACGTTACTATAACCTTAATAAACTTCCCAAATTCATCACTGAATTTTTTGGAGCTTAGAAGGAATGGAACAACTGAACGTGAAAGGATAGAGATCTTAATGATGGTTGGATATGGTGATAAGTTACGAACCGATGCAACAGCATGTGAGCTGTTTAATCAAACACATGCTGACAGACCACCAATTGCACGATATACGGTGAGTAAATTGGTCGCCAAGTTTAAGAGACTGAGTGTGTGATAGGAGACGACAAGATCGACCTCAAATCGCTGAAGAAACCAAGTTAAATGTATTGCTGAAAATTGAAGAAAATCCTCATCAGTCAACAAGACAACTAGCCCTAAACAACAATGTGGACCAATCATATGTTGTAAAGTTGCTTCGTACAGAAAAGTATCATGGATATACATAAAGTCCAGCTGATACACGAATTAAATGAGGATGACACAGACCGCCGGTTGCACTTTTGTGAACAATTAATGTTACGGTGTGATGAAAATCCAAACGTTCTAAGCGACATAATTTTTTCTGACGAGGCCACATTCTGTTTAAATGGCTAAGTACATCGCCATAATTGTAGATATTGATCAAATGACAATCCCCATTGGGCGCAAGAATTCCACAGTCAGCATAAAGGCAAATTAAATATATGGGTGGAGAAATCATAGGAAGGCGATTTTTAGGTCCTTACTTTTTTGAAGAAAATCACACTGCTGCTAGATATTTAGATTTTCTGCGTTTTGAGTTGGTGCCGGCTGTAGCAGTTCTTTTCCTCAACACTGCAGACGGCGATATATTCCATGAAAATATTTAGTTTCAACAAGATGGAGTTCCACCTCACTTTGGCTTAGAGGTTCGGCAATATCTTGATGATACATTTCCTGAAAGATGGATAGGGGGGGGAGGATCTCTTGAGTCGCCCCAGCGTTCCCCCGACTTGACTCTTCTGGATTTTTTTTCTATGGGGTTATTTAAAATCTAGAGTATATTTCAATCGACCAAATAATTTAGCCGACTTACAACTGACAATTCGTGCTGAAATGGAAATAATCAGCCCGGAAATTATTGTGCGTAGTGTACAAAGTGTTTACTTTCGCGAGAGCCAGTGCCAAATTGTTGGTGGAGGACAATTTGAAAATTTACATTAAATTTCGTTAATTATGTGTATTTGTTTCGTTGCCAAGTATAATTTCTTTTATGAAAAATGCCATTAAATCATTTTTTGAAATAAATGTCATTTTCTCGCAATATCTCGCTTGTTATTTGAGATAGACCCATCAAACCTCCGAATATGAAAAAATATACAGGCTGTTCCATAAGAAAAAACAAATTTCAAATTTATTGCCCGTCCAGCTTCTCTGGGTCACCCTGTATACAACTGAATTATCTTAAAAGATGCCCCTCCCGAAAACAAAATCGACCTATCTCGGCGTTTTTTAAAAATCACTCAGTATAAAAGTTATGAATTTTGTTCCAAACTTTATCATCACGCTGTATATCAAAACGCTATTACTTTTATAATATTAAAAAAGGGCGAAGAACAGTATAGACGAGAAACCTCTTCATCTTTTCCTGCTAAACAAAATGAAAATATATTTTCCCTTGTTGATATCAGTATTTTAATAAAATGAAATGACGCGCTGTTTTTATTATTAAAATTTCGCGAAATATCATCAAGTAATGAATAAGACAGAGGATTTAATAAGAGGAATGTCCATTCACGTAAACAATCTGTTAATAAGCCGCCTCATTACATTGAATGAGTCTTCACCTGGAGGAGCAAACAACAGCGGATCAATAACGTCTGCAAAACAATGAGCCTTTATGTGAAAGCAACCTTGAAGAAAATTCAGTGTAGTATTATTGAGATGTCTCGCGATGAAAACACAACAGATTTATCCGAAGATCTGCGTCCTTATAACTCAACTGAAATGTCAGTTGTCACAAAGATCGATAAACTGGAAGGTGCTATCAATACAAACAAGGCTTGCAGTTAGCTTCCTTGGTACGTGGAATTCTCTGAAACTTTGAATTGTCCCGTTTTCGCCAGGAAACCGAAACAGAAATCGGTTTTGACTGAAGCGACTGAAAATAGAACCAGGTAAATTATAAACATAGATTAAAGAGAACAAACTGAAACGCAGAACACAATAAGGAAAAGAATACTTAGACCGCTGATTTAGATCAATTGCTCGTGTCCTCCATTTTGATTAATACACAAACGAATTCGGTTTTTAAGAGTGTTCAACATAGGTCAGCATGTCTGGCGTTATTTCTAGAAATGCTACTGTAATGCGCTGCCATATATCCTCCACGGTAGTTAGTAGTGTAACGTAAACTTTGCTTTTTATAAATCCCCATAAAAAGAAGTCGCAACTTGTCATATCTGGCTACCTTAAAGGGCAACTCACTGGTCCCCCGCTTCCAATCTATCTGTGTATTTCGTGTAAAAACTGACAAACAGCAACGGTATTGTGAGGTGGAGCACCATCATGTTGCATCCACATTCTTCGAAATGTAACTAAAGGAATGTCGCCTCACAATTCTTCTAGAGCGTTTGTTAAAAAGTTTTAATAAACTGCTCCAGTTAGATGCTGGTCAAAAAATAATGGTGCAATAACATGGGTTCCCAAAATTGTTCTCCACACGTTCAAAGACCATCGTTGGGTATGAGTCGTCCGGAATTGGTGAGGATTTACTGTATCATAACAATGCCAATTATGACTATTAACGAAACCATTTTAATGAAAAGTTGCCTCATCGGAGAACATGACCCGTTTAAAAAAAATCATCATCTTGATTTAAGATCTCAAGTGCCCTTTGACAAAACTCCAGTCTTCGCTGAAAGTCTACTTTTAGTAACTCTTGATGTAACTGGATGCGATAAGGATGTGCTGTGCTGTGCTTTTCTAAAATCCTATGTGTCGACGTAGTACTAATACAATTGCAAGGCCTTTCTGGAGGCTGTTACATAGCTACCTTTTCGGACTTTAGAAAAGAACTTGATTTTTCTGGAAAATTGTTAGAGATAAGTATGGACAACCTTATATCAGTCGAAAAGGCATTCAATTTTGCATTCACCCATGATAATTAATATGGGTCGTTCCATTTGAAACGTTTTTCAACTCGTAAGATTACACAGCCACACACACAAAAAAAAAGTTGGGTATACTTTTTATGCGACATATATTTATTCGTAGTAATTTGGCCTCCTGAACACGAATCTGAAGTCAGAATTGGCCCATCACGTCACAATTTTTTCCTAACCTCAAAAAACTTGTAAAAAATGGTGAAAATTGATGAAAATTTACTGGAAAAATTTGGAAACAAATTTATTTCCACATCAAATGGTATATTTTTATGTAAAAGACTGCTGAATTCAAATCACTGTCAGAATTGAGCTAGAACGTGTGTTTTTTTTCTAACCTCAATAAACCGAGCAGGAATCACTATTTTCAGTAAAAATTCAAGATGGCTGATCCAATATGGCGGGTGTACTTTTTTGAAATCCACCGATTTCAGTAAAATTTGGCATCATAATTCATTCATTAATCACACACCTGGAGCCAGATTTTCATAAATCAAGGTAAAATTTGTAGGCAGAGTCATAATTTTAGGCCGAGTAGACGACATTTTTTCGGCAAAGTCACATTTTTAGATTGAAGGCATAAGCAGATGCAGTGATGTGCTATGTGGCAGTAATGTGTCCTTTTCCTTGAACTTTAAAATTATTAAGAAATAAAAGCATCTAAATGCCATAGGAAAACTGCATAGTAGTTAAAAAAATCTGATTGGAAAACCATAAGCCCATGCTCGACTAAATAAATGAAAGAATAAAGTAGAAATTTTTTGTCTTGTCCCATGGAAACAAGCACATCACACTACACATCATTACATGTGTAGAGTCCTTAAGTCATTTTTTTAAGCGAAGTCACATTTTTAGACGGAGTGGAATCTTTTACCTTGATTTATGAAAATCTGGCTCCAGATGTGTGATTAATGAAGGTGAGATCAACCAGCAATCCTTATGATGCCAAATTTTACTGAAATCGGTGGATTTCAAAAAAGTACACCCGCCATATTGGATCAGCCATCTTGAATTTTTACAATGTGAATTCATATTCGTAATCAGCGACCCAAAAAACCCCTTTATACAAAATCTGGTCAAAATCCGCTCAGAATTTGAAAATAGCGATTCCTGCTCGGTTTTTTGAGGTTAGAAAAAAAACCACACGTTCTAGCTCAATTCTGACAGTGGATTTGAATTCAGCAGAGTCTTTTACATAAAAATGTACTATTTGATGTGGAAATAAATTTTTTTCCAAATTTTCCCAGAAAATTTTCATCAATTTTCACTATTTTTCACAAGTTTTTTGAGGTTAGGAAAAAATTGTGACGTGATGGGCCAATTCTGACCCCAGATTCGTGTTCAGGAGGCCAAATTACTACGAAAAATATGTCGCATAAAAAGTATACCCAACTTTTTTTTTGTGTGTGGCTGTGTTATTAAATGTAGATCTCAGTATTTCCGAGTCTGAATAACGTACACAGATGACAAGATAGAGTAACGAAACGAGTAGAGAA